ATAAACTCTAAGATATAGGTATGAGCGTCTGCGCGCACTGTAATCATAATTTTGACCCACGCTGTAGTCGGGGTTGGGGCCAAGTTGCAGCTGTCGGTGGGTGCGACTGGACCTCGTACCCGAACTCCAGAATTTTGTAGATCTTTTTTGCGATATGAGGACGCCCATTACTGTGTAGCATAGGGCGCTCCTTGGGCATTTCTTCTGCCACTCTTCACAGTTGGGTGAAGCAGACCTCGGCGGTGACCGCCGTGTTATCCGGCCTAAGTGCATAGCGGTAGCTTCCATGAATTTCCCATTGCACACTGAGTATGACCTTCTTCTACAAGAATACTTGTTTATGAATAATGTTGGTGTGAGGGAGGGGAGGGGTTAATGTAAAAAACTTGTTCTCAACTTCCACTAATGATGGTGTATTGTCAGTCGGAAAAGCAGCTGAGTAGAGGTATTCGAGCGTCTGCAGCAATTGTTGTCAATCAGTTCATGGGATAGTCACTGATTGAGCTTTTCCACTATTCGAGAGATCGTAGATCACTGACTCCTCTTGACTCTGAACTGCTGAGGCTGGCGGCAAAATGTCGCACTTCTTTGAATAGATGCCGTGGCTCCACTTTCTTCAATTCGTCCAGCATATTTTAGTAAACCAATCAGGCTAGGCTCATCTTTAAGATCTTGTTCTTCATATGGTCGGTTAACTAAGGAACATATGCCAGGGTATGTATGCATGTTCGAGTAGGAAGTGACTTCACATAGGATCGCCAAAAACATAGGATCCCCGAGGGGTTTTTTCCAGAAGTTCCATAATCATCTTCGACATACGGTTTCCGCAGACCTCAATGATGTTGCGAGCCAGCAACATTATTGAGTACTCTTCCAAGGTTTTAAGTGGCTATAAGGCACAAGCCACGCTATAAGGCAGCTTGTCATGACTCACAGCGACAGTGAAAGGCAGTTCCGTACAGTTCTAGTTTGATGTGTGTGCTGACCACATCAAACCAGAACTGTACGGAACTGCCTTTCGCTGCCGCTATGAGTCATGACAAGCTGTTTGAACTTCATACATGGGTTTCCTTGTGATTGGTGCAGCCTCCACAATAACGGTGAAACTCGTCCGAGGATACAGGAAACACTTGGTGCAATTCCTTCTTTGAGCCTTTGTCCCTACCCCTAGCCCACCCTAACCAGGCCGTTTTCCGACTTGATAGAGCTAGTTATGGTATACGTGGAGAACCTCGAACTCATCCTGCGGGGAAATCTCGGGAACCACTTTTATCAGGAATTGTGCCTTTAATCATTGTGAGTCTCATTGCTCCCAGAAATAATAGAAAGAAGCGGGAGTTATTGTTGCCGAGCCTTCATTGAATTAGGTCTCTATTCAATCTCAGCTTAATTTTCGTATTGACTAGCAGCGAAATTCCTCGAAAATTTCCGAGCTAAATGTTCAAAGTGCATATTATTCTTTTCTAGAGCAGAAAAGTTATTACAGAATACGGGTTCACAGTAAGGAGCAAGCTACGTTGCGTACACAAGGATACAATACAGACTTGTATGGGTTCGGGTATAAACCGTAGTGGCGCTTAGAAGTATTGGCCGCGACTATTTTCAGTTTCTGAGCCATTATTGCAGAGTACGAACATATCGCAATCCTTTGTTTTTTCTCCGACGTTACTAACCATGAGTACTAATGGCTAGAAAGACTCACCTTCCTAGGACCATTGCATGATATGATGTGACAGAATGCAAAAGAGCCAATTATTAGGGTGTCCGGAGTGTTTTGAGAAAATTTTGCCTCTCAACTTTGAAAGCATGTAGCTCGCAAACACGCTAGAGAATGACTATAGATTCTATAGCAGGGAGAAGGGCATTGTTGATAGATCAATATTGTAGCTGATCGGTATTTGACGTGGTCGTTTGTGCCATGGATCAGTCTACCGATACCTTCTGCTTCATCATTACGAAACTGATCGCTTCGACACTCAGACTTGGAATAAGATATGGTGATTGATGGCAACAGTGACCCTCTATTGCACCTACCATAAGAGGTACGATCGCTTCCTCTGAGAAGAGATTTGCATCGAAGCGAACGTCCACTGCCCTCAAACACGGGCACTGTTCTGGCCTCCCGTCAGAGCAATCCTGTTTCAAGTGACATGATTTGAAAAAGACGATCTCTACTCTAAAAGAATCAGGGATCAGGAGTTTACTCATCTCGCAACGAATTAAAGCACCACATCGACTGCCATCTTCAGGAAGCCCATCAAATTAAAGGTGGCGCACTGTGCAGCAGTGGTCAAAATTTTTCGTAGAAGTACTGCCATTTTCGTACTTTCCGAGCACCGCGATCTTCATTTATTGCACTGCCGGCACTGCCGAGACCCTTCCTGCCTTACCTTCTCAAATTTATAAAAACAAACTTTCTTGATAGGGTTCGGTACAGAGTTTCACCACAGGACTCTCAATTTTATCTCGAACGAGAAGGCTCAAAGATCTGCGGATTACCACGGATGTACCATGTTCCTGACATTATAGTTTCTAATAGTTCAATAGTCTTATCATTATTCATTTTATTACATTTAATGAGTGTCAAGCTTTTCGGCCATTCTTCTTGAAAGCACAGTTCACGATAAAAATGGTTCCTGAGTCTCCCTCTCAGGAATGCCCAGTGGCCCCCAAGGGTATCAAGAAGGACGTTGTCGAGCCCCAAATTTCAACAGGTAGGGCATAGTGGGAGCTCCGTTACCGGATGGCCCGGACTTCCCGCCACTCCATCGATGTCACGTCAGACGAGTGCCGAGGCGATACAGATTGCAATATTCGTTCTAGGACCCACATACAATCAGCTGTTCGCCAAGGGACGAGTAATATTCTTCTGCCATTCCTTAGTTCCCTGTGATTCTTTTTGCTGATGCGATCCCTATTCTAATTTTCTACCTCAAGAGCCTGAGAAATGTGCTCTATTTTTGTTGTTACTAGGGATTTTTTATTAGATTATGCTTATGGGTGGGTGAATTTTTGCTTATTGTAATTAGCGATTCGCACCAGGACCCACAAGTACGCACTGACACACATTGTATAGCTCGTCCAAACGCCCCATTCTTCTTCATTTTTCTGGTCCCATTCTCGTACAGCCCACTTTCTAACGAATTTCGAAGCCTTCTTTCACTTTGAAAACACATTCATCGCACTATTTTCCATCTTATTTTCCATTTTTCATCATGATCTGGATTATCCAGATTTGTCGTAAACTGTGCCCTTAAGACGAGCTTGTGATTGTTGTCAGGCTTTAAGTATTCTTTAGACAGAATATGATGCTTTCTGCTGACTTCCCCTTTAGAAAATGTAGCTTTGGGGAGCTTCTTCCGCTCTCCTACACCTTCCCTGGTCATGACGGTGTAAGACTCAAACTCCAATCCCCAACTTAATTGCATACATCACGAGCGTGGAATACGCACGAAGAGATAGAAAAAAATCTAGCGAAGCGCAATGGATATAAAGCCAGTAACCGTATCCTTCCACGTCTTTGGATTGTCTCACTACCTGAAGATCGCTATGGAAATGGCAATGGTGCGAATCATCGTCAAGGCTCATTGAGCTTGTGATGAATAACTCCATTACCATACGAGCTTGCTATTGAAATTTCATTCCCTTGCACTATAGTACAACATCACGTTTACAACTGAGAATGTTGATCAGGGGTATAAAGTTGCTACAGATAATGGTCTAGCCACTTTTGCCGGCACTCATCGTTGAAATATCAGAGTCTTCTCTGCTGACAGTATAATCCTCCTATCAGCCATGCAATTCTAATTCTACGTATAGAAGAAGGTCGCTCCGATGACATTCGAATTGGACCTTTTAATCAGCCCAAGTTTCGATTTCTTCTTCTTTGTAGAAGTCCGGATAGTCAAAAGCATACGTAACTTGCTCGCTCAAACCCCCCAACGAAAAACCCAAGGTTTCACTGGGCATCTCCAAAAAACTTTCAAAAAAAAAAAAACTGTATCGATCGATAGAGGCGTAGGTCCGCTCACTCGCTCGGTGGAACAGCAGAACCACTACTCTTCTACTAATTCGGTATGAGGTGAATAGTAGTACCTCTCACTGACTTTCCAGTTAAGCGATGGGTACGAATGTCGAAGAAAGGTGCGAGTCATACACATTTCCCCTTTCTGCTTGAATGAGGGTCTTAAGCAGTGATCCAGAATGCTAATGCTTTCACGAACACACGCAGTTGCCGTTTCCAGAACCAATAAATATTGGCAGGGAAACGCCAAGCATTGGACCTGCAGAGTTTGGAACCCAATGAGCTTCTAAGAGAGTATATATTCTAGATCTGGCGAGCCCATACAAATGCTTCTTAGGCCACACACAAGGGGTGCGGCCTGTTTCTCCTATGTGCTATAATGCGATGTTTGGACTGGGTCGGCATGTAATAAAGGCAATCAGTTGTTATTGCTAATAGTGGAATCCTTTCTTTACTACAAGCTACCCAGCCTTTTCAACTATTTTCTCGTTTCTGCGGATCCTAAGTAACGAACGAACTACCCACTTCTTTACCCAGAGAGTCATCGTAATGGAACCAAGAAGGCGGGCTCCCCCGAAAATGGGTTGAGCGTAAAAGCGTTCATGAGCCAAAAAGCCCCCTAAATTCACAGTAACTAGTCAGATCACATAAATGAAAATTTCCTGGCTATTCCAGAGAGGTGCATTATCATATTAATCCTTTCCTATGATCTCATGTTTGACTTCACTCGTGTGTTTTATCAGCCGCCCAGAACAAAAATGCTCTCTTTCAAACAAGCCTCAATCTTGCCCTAGATTCTTCAAGCTTTCTTCATGTCAGAAGTTTTTTTTGAGTGGTACTCCACGAAGCGAGTGGTCGAAATGGTTGATTACATTAAGTTTTGCGGATTAGCAATTCCTTGAAGCTGTTGTCAACATTTTATATTTCAGTTATCATGAAAGGCATTTCCTCAGTATTTCTGCTGTTTATAGCTTTCATGCAACTGACTCTGGCCTACGGTATGAAGGCTTCAGGTTAGCTATTGGTTTCCTATATCAGGATGGAAGTTAAATTATGTAATTTGCTCTAATTGCGATAGATTTCAGATTATCTGCAAGGGATGCCAAAAGGAGACATCAAACCAGGTTGGGAGGATCTTGGATGGGCGTGGGGAAAGCGGAGTGCAATAGGAGAGCTATCGGTGAGGATGTTTCTTTTTTTTTACCTTCTCCAAACAACAGTGTCAGAAACCTTCCGGTGTTACAGTATCCACGAAGATTCCTGCGATCGATGCAATTGGTCAAGAAGAATCCAGATTGGCATGATCTCGGCTGGACATGGGGTCGTCGAAAGTGATCGGCCACATCTACAGGCCATTTTACGTTGAACATTCTTGCCACTATTACGTAGGCAAAATTTTGCCGAGTAATTCATAAAGAAAATCAGCCATCAGCTGAGTTAAGGTCGTTCCACACATCCTACTGCTTTCCACTTATCATTGTAGAAATAACAGCAGATATAAATTATTTTTGTTGCCTGGATCAAACACAGACTGCAGAGGCATAATAGACGGCAGACAAACTGTAACGAGAGGCGGTGGTTCCGAGCGAACGATTTCATTTAAACAAAGATCAGTCCAGAAAGCTGCAACATCTAACAACAGGTCAAAGTCACAAATCGTGGTAATTTTAAGACAATTTTTCAAAGTCCAAGGGCGGAGTTGTTGGCTCAGAAGAGTGCATCGGTGCTAAGATTTGAGAATTGGAAGGGCTTTGAACAGGTGTGAAAGTGGAGCCTATAGCAGATCACCGTGACAGAAATATCATGGGCGGTTGCATAAAGATCATGCTACATCTACTCTGAAGTAGAATTACCATCCAATGCTATTAATTATCGCGACTATCCGCTTAAATTTCCAACACGGGTTCCATTTTGAATAAGGTTCCAAAGGTGTAGGTTTCAGGCAAACCGGTGTTGGAGCTCTTTTTGCACCCTATCTAGGCCGCTTTCTGGCGCAACGATGCGCTCAAAGGAAGCCTCAAAAGAGCAAGCTGTTCGGATCAGTGCCATTCAACTAATGCCGGCATTAGTTGGTGGCTGTGGTTAGCTGCGGTGCAGATCCCTTTTTTTGGGATGTAACCTCTCTTTTTTTATTTTTATGTCAGTGAGGCGCCAGGTTCCACCTTCCAATTCCACCCAAGTCGTTTGTTGAGTTTTGGAGGACGAACCAGTTCCAAGCTGCATAAATAGAGACCCTTAGCAATGAGTTATAAGGATAGTCCGAGGGTTTCTTAGCTTTGGCGGCTTTCTTTCTCATTGTGGCATTAGCCTGTAGCAGCTTGACTTCAGTCTGGCTAGATGGCACGTGAGCATCTTGAAATAAGTATCACAGCAGGTAGCAGCAAACAGTCCTAGTACCAGGAGCTTTTATTCACAGATCTATTTAGAAGTGATAGTTGGTTGTAGCATGCTTTCGAGATAGCGCCTTCTATTGGACCATGCGAGTGAATCTGATGGGGATCGTGCTGAATGTTTTGCCAGTATTCAATGATGCTTTTATGGTGAGCGATAACGCTGCCAGGCTATCGTCGGCCAGGAACTCCCTCAAAGACTTTTGGATTAGGACCCGAGGTAAGTGCGACAGCACTACTTTGACACAGCGCTGTCACACTTACCTCAGGTTCTAACCGAACGCCTTTCGAGCGTCTGACTCTGGTAGACACACTAGGAGAAAGGAAGATGGAGAGAACAACTTCGTGTGAGAGGCGAAAAAGTATTCGCTAAAGGAAACTTTTTCATTCCAGCAGCTGATGCAACTCCATTTACTGAGCAAGATGTCGCCGAGATAACTAACTAGACAGCCGAAATGACCTACCCCTAGTTTATTCTCTTAGAAGCTCACTCTCTCCCCTTGAGTAAATGTGCTGTGTGCTTGTGCAGCCTCATGAATTTCGGATTACGCTAGGCTTCCCACTTTCTTGCGAGAAGTTCAAAGGCACGACCTGATCACGGGACTCAGCTTCAACTGAAAAATGGTTCAACATTAATGTATGTCAACAAAATTTTGGATGGTTTGTCCATAAAATTTCCTTCAAATGATGAACTATTGAGCTTGGCAACATCCCGGTACACGCCATACATCCGACAACCTTTTGAAGCTATGGGATCAAAAGTTGAACTTTCTCGTTGTTCCAAATAAGCACTTACCAGCGTATGTGGAAAGTTCTTCAACGTCTTGTACTCTTGGAAGGTGGTCGTCGTAAGGGCCGATCAAGTCACTGCAGATGAACCGATCCCAGATGTCATGTGGGAAGAAATGGGGTATACAGTAAATTAAGGCGGGGAAAACACTAGGTTGCGACGACATACGTTCCGTACATCTGGTAGCAAGTGAATCACCTCTTTTTAAAGCGCTGGCAGAGCGCTTCAGCAGATAGCGCAGCGAGATGAGGATTCCGGCGGTATGGAAGAAGTCAAAGGCGAACCCGAGAGTTTGGACAATTATAGTCCCATTACTTTCCTGTTTCAAGTCTATAAGACGTTCTCCCGGATAATCCTTGACCGCATGGTTGAAGATCCGGTCACGACCTTGAGGAGAGAGCAAGCGGGATTTCGTAGTGGGTACTCCACACTTGATCATTTGCACTTTGTATGTCAGATTACCGAAAAATGGGGAGAGTATCGGATCCCCTTATGCATCGCGTTTGTCGACTACAGGAAACCATTCGACTCGGTCGAAACAAAGCGATGCCGAATGCAAGGAGTGGAATACGGTATTAATTTCTGCAATGTCGACCTTCTCGAAGAGCTAAACAGTGGCTGAACCACAGAAATTAAGCTCTTCAACAATCCATGTCAAATAAAAATATGCAGGGCGTTCGACAAGGCGATACGATTTCTCCGAAACTGTTTGCATTAACTTTGGAGACCCTTTTCAATGATCTTGACTGGACCGGAGGTATAGAGATCGATGGAGAGCACCTGACCTATTTGCTCTCTACTGACGATTGCGTCATTTTTGCACATGATGCCCTAGAGCTCCAAGAGACAGTTGTGCGACTGCAGATAAACGCGAGTGAAATCGGCCTTGAAGGCAAATTTGTCAAAAACGAGGTGGATGCACAGCCAATTCAGTCCTACAACGACAGTCAAAATAAATGGCGAAACCATCGAATAGGTGAAAAGCTCCAAGTACCTTGGACGCCAGCTCAGCTCCACAAAAGGCAGCAGCGGAGAGTACAGCAGGTGCAGGAAGGTGGTCTAGCTTTAACAAAATCTCAACGTTACTACTGGACGAAGACCTCCCGATGAATGTGAAAGCGTCGTTTCCACTCGACTGTGACACCAGCGCCCGCGGAATGCAGGGCGTCCACGAAGGCAGACGAAGAGAAATTTGCTGTGATGCAAAGATAAATGAAATGCAGAGTTTGCAAAGAGTCATTTCGTGAACTATCACAAACACAGAGTTGCGAAGACGGAGTGGCCTTGTTGATGTTGTCCAAGAAAAGCGTAAAAGTAAACGAGAATGGGCCGGTCATGTGGCACTTTTAAAAGATAGCCTTCCGGCTAACGAAATGGATCTCATTGGATCACAAGCGGGCGCTGGGAAGGCCTAAATTAAGGTGGGCCGATCCTATGGTGAATGTGCTTGGCCAGCAATAGAGACGACGTGGGCAGGACCGGAAAGGATGGCTCAAGGTCGACTTGCGTGAATGGCAAAGTTCGCGAGGGCAAGTCGGATACAGGTGATACAGGTGATCAAAATGACTAGCGTGCAGCTAACTCAGAATGTGATTATACTTTGAGGTTCTCCGTCCACAAATTGTCAGTCTACTACTGAGTGAAATTCGCAACTCCTTCGCGTGATTTGGAATTCTGATCGCAATCATTCATTCGTTCGCCAAGTCGATATCTCGAGACCGGTCTGGCAGATTGCCATTGCTGAAATTGTAAGTTGTAGTGTGCCGTCTAATACCAACTTCCGCGCTAAAACCAAGCAGTTCCTCTATTCGTTTGCTTTAGTGTTTTTCGAGAAGGTTCATGACACTTTTGGAGAAGCTGGAGGCTCGAAACAAAATAGCATTTCATAAGTATTACTCAGGAGTAGCAGAGCTAGGAAAGCTTTCACTAGGAATGCATAAACACCATACTGCATCTCCTTACCAGGCAATTCAGAGTGCTTGTTATAAAAACGTGCCATCGTCGTGAAGGGCGAGTCTTCGATTTGAATCCGCGAATAAATGCCAGCCCCGTCTACATCTTCATAACCTTGTGACATCTGACTTGCACTGTACCTTAAGTTGTCTCAAACTTTTTACTACTTTATTTTTATATAAATATTCACAAATCACTCTTTAGGTAAGATCATCTTCACCTCTCTGGCGTTGATCCCGCTCACCTCTAGGGGCCGCTGTTCTCGTTAGCTTCCTTGGTTTCTTAGAGATCCTTTCTGATTCCTTCCATCCCTACTTTGGGACACCTTGTGGTCCCTTGCTATCCGCTTCAAACACTATTGCCTTTCTCATGTTCCCATACTGTGGCCTTCGTAATACGTACCTATACAATCGCAGGTGCTGCCTTCAGCTGGACAAAGGCTGTTTGCACCTTCTCCCTGTTGTTTTGTCTCATCTTTTCTTTTGGGAGTTCTTGAATCCATGTGTAGACTGGAGTCAACATGTAATATAGGCAAACATTGTTATTGTAGACCATGATATTCCTTTTTTACTGTAAGCTTTCCAGCCTTTCCAACTGTTTACTCGTTTCTGCGGATTCTAGGTGAGACATGAATTACCCACGTTTTCACCCAAAAAGGCGCAAAATTGGCTTCCATGAGCTGGAAGGCCATTCAATTAGGTTCGTAACAACTAGTCGGAGCCCATAAATAAAGTTTCCAGGCTAATAAAGAGAAAGGCATCATCAGTTTCAATCTTTTTATGTTCTCATGTTCGAATTCACACGTGTGCTTCTTCTCCCGCCCAGAATACCTTGCTTCCCTTCGAATAACAAACAAGCCTCTAACTTGCATTAGAGTTCAGATTTACTTTGCGCTTTACTCTGTATTTCTTAAGCAGTATTCCACGAAGTGAGTGGTCGAAGCGACCGATTGTATCGTATCGTATCGTATAGGCAGAATAGCCATTTCTCGGAGTTGTTCTCAACATTGTATATTTCAACTACCATGTAAGACATTTTCTTCGTATCACTGCTGTTCATAGCTTTTATGCAACTGACTCTGGCCAACGGTATGAAGGCTTCAAGTTATTAATTAGTTTCCTGTACCAGGATGTAAGCCAAACTATGTAATTTGCTCTAATTGCTGAAGTTTTTAGATGTCAAGAAGAGATGGACCGATTACG